TCCGCACCGCCACCGTCTGCCACCAGAGGGCGCTCTACATGGCTACGGGGCACAGACTCCACCCTCACCTGTGGGCTCTGGGCGGACAATGCTGAGGAGGTAGCAGTGGAAAGTCCGGCATTTGGAGGTCTCCAGCCCCCATCTCTCTCACACCTCCGAGGGCGGTTGGGGCTCCACCTGCGGCTGATATTTTGGAGTCCAAACACAGACTCAACCAATCAGAACACAGACTGGCTCAGCTTTGATGCGTCAACTGCTGCAGGTCCGGCCGCTCTTCAACCAATCAGAACACAGACGTTCCTGGCAATTTCATGTCACATGAGAAGCTTCTCCACCAATTACCAGGAATCGGCTCCAATATCACCCCCCCCCCCCCCATCCCCCGACGATCAATCACTGAAACATGGAGAGGGGAAAAGTCAGAGAAAAAAAAAATGTCATCCAACCAAAAGGTCTCATTTCTCCTTTCCACAACCAATCAGAATCCGATCTGCTGAGGTCAGACCTCTACAAGACGAATGAGATCACCTGACGGATCTCTGTAATAAACATCATTTCTCTGTTCTGTGGAGGCACCTCACCTCTGACCTCTCCACCCTCACCTCTGACCTCTCCACCTCTGACCTCTCCACCCCTCACCTCTGACCTCTCCACCCCTCACCTCTGACCTCTTCACCTCTCACCTCTGACCAACCCTCACCTCTGACCTTCTGACCTCTGCTCACCTCTGACCTCTCCAACCCTCACCTCTGACCTCTCCACCTCTGACCTCTCCACCCCTCACCTCTGACCCTCTCCAACCCTCACCTCTGACCTCTCCACCCCTCACCTCTGCTCACCTCTGACCTCTCCACCCCTCACCTCTGACCTCTGCTCACTCTGACCTCTCCACCCCTCACCTCTGACCTCTGCTCACCTCTGATCCCTCCAGCTCTGACCTCTCCACCCCTCACCTCTGACCTCTCTACCTCTGATCCCTCCACCTCTGACCTCTCCGCCTCACACCTCACCTCTGACCTCTCCTCATCACCTCTGACCTCTCTCCTCATCACCTCTGACCTCTCTCATCTCTGACTTCTCCTCACCACCTCTGACCTCACCCCTCCTCACCTCTGACCTCACCACCTCTGACCTCACCCCTCACCTCTCATCCCACCACCTCTGACCTCCCCTCACCTCTGACCTCTCCACCTCTGATCCCTCCACCTCTGATCCCTCTCTCCTCTGACCTCTTCCTCACACCTCACCACCTGTGACCTCTCCACCTCACCACCTGTGACCTCTCCACCTCACCTCTGACCCCTCCACCTCTGACATCACCATCTTTACCTCTAACCTCACCTCCGCACGCAAGCTCACCTCTGACCTCCTTTCCTCACCCCTGACCTCTCCCCTCTGACTTCTCACCTTAGACCTCTTCACCTCTGAACTCTCACCTTCACCTTTGACCTGGTGTTCCCAGTATTCTGGCCGCACATTGCTGGAAATCGTATTCACATGACAGCTGACAGAACCTGAGGAGTCATCAGCCGCTGTCGGTCCCAAACTGCCTCATTACCACCAAGACACCGACTGCCAATAAAACTGTCACTTCATGGAGGTCGTGGCCAATCAGGAGAGACAGCCGCGCAATTCTCTGATGGATCCAGGAGATCGCAGAGCTGACACCCATCAGCCGCCTGAGTGCGTCCCGAGTCACATTTATCAAACTGCGTAGTATGTGATGTGGACAACACAGACAGTTCTCATTTCAGGCCAGAACTCTAATTGCCAGGGAGATGGAGCCGTGTAGATCCAGAAGAAGCAGAAAATGTTCAGGCCCCTCCCCCTGGGCGTTCCGGATGTCCAACATTCATCTGACTACATCCAGTAATGTCCACTTTTCTGAACGGGAGAAAACTAATATTCCTGATGAAAACCGGAACACCCGGGGGGAGGGGCCGAAGGCATCTGACATACAACCCCACAATGTTTATAAACAATGTTACTTTGTATCCCTCCATCCCCCGTCTGATCGATGTTTATAAACAATGTTACTTTGTATCTCTCCATCCCCCGTCTGATCGATGTTTATAAACAATGTTACTTTGTATCTCTCCATCCCCCGTCTGATCGATGTTTATAAACAATGTTACTTTGTATCTCTCTATCCCGTCTGATCGATGTTTATAAACAATGTTACTTTGATCGATCCCCCCGTCTGATTATAAACAATGTTACTTTGTATCTCTCCATCTCCCGTCTGATCGATGTTTATAAACAATGTTACTTTGTATCTCTCCATCTCCCCCGTCTGATCGATGTTTATAAACAATGTTACTTTGTATCTCTCCCATCCCCCCGTCTGATCGATGTTTATAAACAATGTTACTTTGTATCTCTCTATCTCCCGTCTGATCGATGTTTATAAACAATGTTACTTTGTATCTCTATCTCCCGTCTGATCGATTTTTATAAACAATGTTACTTTGTATCTCTATCTCCCGTCTGATCGATGTTTATAAACAATGTTACTTTGTATCCCTCCATCTCCCGTCTGATCGATGTTTATAAACAATGTTACTTTGTATCTCTCCATCTCCCGTCTGATCGACGTTTATAAACAATGTTACTTTGTATCTCTCCATCTCCCGTCTGATCGATGTTTATAAACAATGTTACTTTGTATCTCTCCATAGCTCCCGTCTGATCGATGTTTATAAACAATGTTACTTTGTATCTCCATCTCCCGTCTGATCTGATCGATGTCTTCGATGTTTATAAACAATGTTACTTTGTATCTCCTCCATCCCCCCGTCTGATCGATGTTTATAAACAATGTTACTTTGTATCTCCCTCCATCCCCAATGTTACTTTGTATCTCTCCATCCCCCCGTCTCTCGTCTGATCGATGTTTATAAACAATTGAGCGATGTTTATAAACAATGTTACTTTGTATCCTTATCCCCGTCTGATCGATGTTTATAAACAATGTTACTTTGTATCTCATCATCCCCGTCTGATCGATGTTTATAAACAATGTTACTTTGTATCTCCATCTCCCGTCTGATCGATGTTTATAAACAATGTTACTTTGTATCTCCATCTCCCGTCTGATCGATGTTTATAAACAATGTTACTTTGTATCTCTATCTCCCGTCTGATCGATGTTTATAAACAATGTTACTTTGTATCTCTCCATCCCCCGTCTGATCGATGTTTATAAACAATGTTACTTTGTATCTCTCCATCTCCCGTCTGATCGATGTTTATAAACAATGTTACTTTGTATCTCTATCTCCCGTCTGATCGATGTTTATAAACAATGTTACTTTGTATCTCCATCTCCCGTCTGATCGATGTTTATAAACAATGTTACTTTGTATCTCTCCATCTCCCGTCTGATCGATGTTTATAAACAATGTTACTTTGTATCTCTCCATCTCCCGTCTGATCGATGTTTATAAACAATGTTACATTATCGTTCACAGCGCTGTCAGAGGAAGTTCTGGATCATCACATTACATTCCACCATCAGCAGATTTTCTGATGACTCCGGTTAGGGTGGGAGGTGCGGGATCGAATACTACAAGGGGGTGAATGTGATCCCCTCCCCCCACCATCCCAGACAGAGAAGATCCCCATCAGATCATGTGCGGATCGATGTTCCCGGGAAGACGACTTTCATCCTATTCCAGGAAGTCAGGCTGTGATAATGTCACAGAGAAGAGGCTCCACCTGCTGGGGAGTCGCTGGAACTGCACCCTCTGCAGACCCTCCGCTCCTTCTTCTGGATCACCGGCTGTCAGACGACTCCTATAGGAAGAGTTCACGGTCACCCATAGCAACCACCGGCAGGGCTACTGATCACGGTCAGCGACCCCTCCTCATTGTGATCGGCAGAGGATTCAGGACACACGAGAGAAATCCCAATCTACAGCCATGACGTTCCGTCAGCAGGATACAGAGTATCAATAATGTCCGCGAACGCTGCGCACTCCCATCGATCGTCTGTGCAGGAACGACCGTCCCCCCGCCGAGAAACGCCCGTCCCCCGCCGAGAAACGCCCGTCCCCCGCCGAGAAACGCCCGTCCCCCAAGGAGAAACGCCCGTCCCCCAAGGAGAAACGACCGTCCCCCGCGGAGAAACGCCCGTCCCCCGCCGAGAAACGACCGTCCCCCAAGGAGAAACGACCGTCCGCCCGCGGAGAAACGCTGATCTACGGCCATGACCGAGAAACGATTATCCTACATATAGCACCAACCTGAGTGACACTTCCCCACAGCATACGTACCTCTTATCACATATAGCGCCAACATATCCCGGAGCGCAGCACACTCCCATATAATAAGGACACATTTCATCCCGTGTATAGCGCCAACATATCCCGGAGCGCAGCACACTCCCATATAATACGGACACATTTCATCCCGTGTATAGCGCCAACATATCCCGGAGCGCAGCACACTCCCATATAATACGGACACATTTCATCCCGTGTATAGCGCCAGCATATCCCGGAGCGCAGCACACTCCCATATAATACGGACACATTTCATCCCGTGTATAGCGCCAACACATCCCGGAGCGCAGTACACGCACACCACGATATCCATGTAGCACACATCAATGTAACATTCAACAAGTGACTATAAAACACACCCGAAGGTGCGGATCAGGAACCGTCCAATCAGATCCCGGAGCACTCAGAGTTCTTCCTCTCTATTGGACGATATGATCTCTCATTACCTTCAATCTCTCTCTGATCGGAGAACAAAGTGTAAAGTATGGCGGAGACCCCGGGAGCGCCCACCATGGAGGACGTGTTCAGCCGCTCCGCTACGCCTGTGCAAGCCTGAAGGGGAGGAGCCGCCACGCCTGTGCAAGCCTGAAGGGGAGGAGCCGCCACGCCTGTGCAAGCATGAAGCCGGGGAGGAGCCGCCACGCCTGTGCAAGCATGAAGGGGAGGAGCCGCCACGCCTGTGCAAGCCTGAAGGGGAGGAGCCGCCACGCCTGTGCAAGCCTGAAGGGGAGGAGCCGCCACACCTGTGCAAGCCTGAAGGGGAGGAGCCGCCACACCTGTGCAAGACTGGAGGGGAGGAGCAGCCTCACCTGTGCAAGACTGGGAGGGGAGGAGCAGCCTCACTGTGCAAGACTGAAGGGGAGGAGCCGCCACACCTGTGCAAGACTGAAGGGGAGGAGCCGCCACACCTGTGCAAGACTGAAGGGGAGGAGCCGCCACACCTGTGCAAGCCTGAAGGGGAGAGCCGCCACACCTGTGCAAGACTGGAGGGGAGGAGCAGCCTCACCTGTGCAAGACTGAAGGGGAGGAACCGCCACACCTGTGCAAGACTGAAGGGGAGGAGCCGCCACACCTGTGCAAGACTGAAGGGGAGGAGCCGCCACACCTGTGCAAGCCTGAAGGGGAGGAGCCGCCACACCTGTGCAAGACTGGAGGGGAGGAGCAGCCTCACCTGTGCAAGACTGAAGGGGAGGAGCCGCCACACCTGTGCAAGACTGAAGGGGAGGAGCCGCCACACCTGTGCAAGACTGAAGGGGAGGAGCCGCCACACCTGTGCAAGACTGAAGGGGAGGAGCCGCCACACCTGTGCAAGACTGAAGGGGAGGAGGCGCCACACCTGTGCAAGACTGAAGGGGAGGAGCCGCCACACCTGTGCCAGACTGAAGGGGAGGAGCCCTCCACACCTGTGCCAGACTGAAGGGGAGGAGCCGCCACACCTGTGCCAGCTGCCTGTGCAAGACTGAAGGGGAGGAGCCGGTACGGCTGTGCAAGACTGAAGGGGAGGAGCCGCTACACTTGTGCCAGACTAATGGGTAGGAGCCACTATACCTGTGCCAGACTGAAGGGGAGGAGCCGGTACACCTGTGCAAGACTGAAGGGGAGGAGCCACTACACCTGTGCCAGACTGAAGGGGAGGAGCCACTACACCTGTGCCAGACTGAAGGGGAGGAGCCGGTACACCTGTGCAAGACTGAAGGGGAGGAGCCGGCACACCAGTGCCAGACTGAAGGGGAGGAGCCGGCACACCTGTGAAAGACTGAAGGGGAGGAGCCGCTACACCTATGCCAGACTGAAGGGGAGGAGCCAGAATAATTGGAGGATGGAGGTGATATTATCTATATGAGATCTGTATACGGGAAGGAGGAGGGGGGGGGGGGGGGGGGGTGAATGTTGGGTGAATGTCAGATTCACTGCTCTATAGATACACCCCGTAGCTGATGTTGGGGGACATTTCTGGGGACCGATGGAAGCTGCACGCTGTGGAGAATGATCCCGTGTGGGGGACAATGACACGCAGAGCTGACAATCTATGAGGTCGGTGAACAGAGGTGTCATTGTGTGAGCCGAGGCCAGGAATGAGGACTGTCATCACTCTGGAATGTGGGGAGGGCTCAGCGCTGAATGGACGCCGCCGCACTCCCCCCCCCCCCCACCACCCGCTGGAGGTCTGCTCTGCTACACAACAACATGAGCTGAATGGACTGCTGCAGAGCATTGCTTCTCCACCCCCCAAACTAGATCACTGCCCCCTCCACCCCCAACTAGATCACTGCAGAGCATTGCACCTCCACCCCACCAACTAGATCACTGTAGAGCACTGCACCTCCACCCCACCAACTAGCTCCCCGCAGAGCATTGCACCTCCACCCCACCAACTAGATCACTGTAGAGCACTGCACCTCCACCCCACCAACTAGCTCCCGCAGAGCATTGCACCTCCACTCCGCCAACTAGCTCTCCAAAGAGCATTGTACATCCACCCCGCCAACTTGCTCCCGCAGAGCATTGCACCTCCACTCCACCAACTAGATCACTGCAGAGGATTGCACTCCTACCTCTCCAACTAGATCACTGCAGAGGATTGCACTCCTACCTCTCCAACTAGATCACTGCAGAGGATTGCACTCCTACCTCCACCAACTAGATCACTGCAGAGGATTGCACTCCTACCTCTCCAACTAGATCACTGCAGAGGATTGCACCTCCACCCCGCCAACTAAACAAAATCACACAGCATTGCACTATCACCTCTCCAACTAGATCACCACAGAGCACTGGACCATCACATCTCAAACTAGATCTCTGCAGAGCATTACACCTCTCAAACACACTGACTATGAAGCTGCAAAGCACTGCCACACAAGTCCAGCGTGGAGCTCGGAAGGTTCCAGACATGTCTGCAGATATTTTAATATCAGGAAAAAGTTATAACATTTATCACGACGGAGCCCCCAGACAGAAGATAATTATTGGCCAATCTGGGTCCCACCCGGGCAGCACTGTGTGTCTCGGGGGTTAGAGCTTCAAATGAAATTCTCTGGCTGTGCCGCCATCTTGAGATAATTCAATCCTGGCATGGAGAGCCAATTGTGGAGATGCTGCTAGTTTGGGGAGATCGTCATACTCCATTGGGTGTAATGAAGAGGACACAGACATGGATGGATGGATGGATGGAAGGAATGGAGGGGAGGGAGACGGGAGGAGAGGATGGAAGGAAAGGATGGATGGAGGGATGGAAGGAAAGGAAGGAAGGAGGGATGGAGGGATGGATGGGTAGGATGGAGGGATGGAGGGAGGGAAGGATGGAAGGAAGGAAGGAAGGATGGATGGGGATGGAGGGATGGAGGGATGGAAGGATGGAGGGAGGAAGGAGGGATGGAGGGATGGACGGAGGGATGGAGGGATGGAGGGATGGAAGGATGGAGGATGGAAGGGAAGGAAGGATGGATGGAGGATGGAAGGATGGAGGGATGGAGGGATGGAAGGATGGAGGGATGGAGGATGGATGGAGGATGGATGGAGGAAGGATGGAAGGAAGGAAGGATGGAGGGATGGAAGGAAGGATGGATGGATGGAAGGAAGGAGGAGGAAGGAAGGATGGATGGAAGGAAGGAAGGAAAGCTGGATGGAGGGATGGATGGAAGGATGGATGGATGGATGGATGGAAGGAAGGAAGGAAGGAAAGCTGGATGAAAGGATGGAAGGGAGGAATGGATGGATGGAAGGAGGGATGGAAGGTTGGATGGATGGAGAATCTCATCCCCCTAGATCGGTATTTCCATGCTGGTTGAGGTCAGGACGTGGCAGTTTCCGGTTATGGTGGATGTTCTGCCTCACTATTATGTCATTTTTTTATGTCTTGTATTGAACTGAATTGGGGTATCATTTTTCTGTAGCATGCTGACATCTAATGGCAGTTTCAGGTCACTACAACTTGTTTACTATGTGATTTTGGCATTGTTCTCCATCCCTCCTGTTTAGTGCTAGTTATTCCAGTCCTAGCTAGACCCGTCCTGTTTCTTCAATGTTTCCTCTGTCAGGACTTTGCATTTACCCCAGACAGGGCTCAGGAAATCATTGTCTTCTTACACTTCCAAAGACTGCAATTGCGTTTGGATTCAATATCTGTGTCTTATTGGAGAGTTAAGCTGCCTGTGGATGGTGCCAAGTCAGCAGGTGACCACACCAGAGACTGGATCTATGGAGGTATGGCAAGGCATAAACTGGCATTTGAATCAGAACCTCTGATGTTTCTAGATGTGCTCCTGGGGGGCGGGAGATCTCCTTCTGATTCCAGAAGTCACCTATAACTGTCGAGGACCGTCCATCTCCTCCAACATGGCGGCAGCTTGCTTGGCTCCAGATCTTCCTCCTGTTGGCTCTTCGTGGGGCCGGAAGGGTCCCTTTACATCTGGAATGGAAGATTTGCTGCGTCTCGGACAATCGGCGAGAATCTCCTCGCAGGTTTATGAGCGTTATTAACGGCCTCCTCGCTGGCCCCTCGCTGGGCTCCGGGGGCTCCGGGGGCCGTTTATATCCGCCATGTTGCAGCGTCTGCTCACCAGCGATAAGTCTTCCATTGAATGGACTCGTAATTCTTCATCCGAACAATAACTCTCCGCTTTGTGCCGGCGGCTGCCGCGGCGTCTTCTGGAGAACGCGTCTCGTTATCTGGGGCAGGATCACCGGGAAGGACGGCAATCACATAGGCGTGTGTGGGGCAGGATCACCGGGAAAGACGGCAATCACATAGGCGTGTGTGGGGCAGGATCACCGGGGAAGACGGCAATCACATAGGCGTGTGTGGGGCAGGATCATAGGCGTGTGTGGGGAAAGAAGGGCAATCACATAGGCGTGTGTGGGGCAGGATCACCGGGAAAGACGGCAATCACATAGGCGTGTGTGGGGCAGGATCACCGGGAAGGACGGCAATCACATAGGCGTGTGTGGGGCAGGATCACCGGGAAGGACGGCAATCACATAGGGTGTGTGTGGGGCAGGATCACCGGGAAGAAGACGGCAATCACATAGGCGTGTGTGTGGGGCAGGATCACCGGGTGGGGAAGACGACGGCAATCACATAGGCGTGTGTGGGGGCAGGATCACGTGTGTGGGGAAGACGGCAATCACATAGGCGTGTGTGGGGCAGGATCACCGGGAAGGACGGCAATCACATAGGCGTGTGTGGGGGGGCAGGATCACCGGGGAAGACGGCAATCACATAGGCGTGTGTGGGGCAGGATCACCGGGGGACGGCAATCACATAGGCGTGTGTGGGGCAGGATCACCGGGAAGGACGGCAATCACATAGGCGTGTGTGGGGCAGGAAATCACCGGGGAAGACGGCAATCACATACGGTGAGCGTGTGTGGGGCAGGATCACCTTGGAGGACATCAGACAGAACGGGTTCATGGCAATCGTATTGGGGGGGGGGGGGGGTATTAACATGAGCTCCACCTCCCACATCAAACCTAAAATCAAGAACAGGTCATGTGACACGACGAGCGATGGTTATGATGGGAGATCTCTATGGTAGAAGAGACGTTTCCAGTGTCGTTAGTCCCATTCATCGTTGTTATGGGTCAGGTGATCTGAGCTCAGAGTTGTCACCGGTCAGTCAGGACTTTCAGTGGACGGGCGATCTGAGCTCAGAGTTGTCGCCGGTCAGTCAGGACTTTCAGTGGACGGGCGATCTGAGCTCAGAGTTGTCGCCGGTCAGTCAGGACTTTCAGTGGACGGATGATCTGAGCTCAGAGTTGTCGCCGGTTTCAGGACTTTGGACGGGCGATCTGAGCTCAGAGTTGTCGCCGGTCAGTCAGGACTTTCAGTGGACGGTGATCTGAGCTCAGAGTTGTCGCCGGTCAGTCAGGACTTTCAGTGGACCTTCTGGTTTTTATGGAGATCTTTTTTTCATTCATAACAACTGTCTGGGAGGACTTGTTCCCTGTGCAGGACGACCTCCAGAGGAATGCTCTGTATATGGGGGAACAGGAGCCTTCACCCCAACAATGGAGGGCCTGACCGCATGGGTGGGGTGCAGACAATATTGATGGCTAGATGGGGTGTGGAGGATGGGGTGCAGATGATGATATGGAGGTAAATGTGGAGGACGGGGTGCAAAGGATAGAGTGCGGAGGACGAGGTGCAGGTGGTGTTGATGGTGTGTGGATGTAGAGTTGGAGGACGAGGCATGGATGATGGGGTGTGGAGGTAGAGGTGGGGTGGAGGATGGGGTGTGGAGGTAGAGGATGAGGCATGGATGATGGGGTGTGGAGGTAGAGGTGGGGTGGAGGATGGGGTGTGGAGGTAGAGGATGAGGCATGGATGATGGGGTGTGGAGGTAGAGGTGGGGTGGAGGATGGGGTGTGAAGGTAGAGGATGAGGCATGGATGATGGGGTGTGGAGGTAGAGGTGGGGTGGAGGATGGGGTGTGGAGGATGAAGTGTTGAGGTAGAGGTGGGTAAAGAATGGGGTGTGAAGGTTGGAATGCAGTGGCGGGATGGAGGATGGGGTATGGATGATGGAATGTGGAGAATGGAGTGTGGAGGTGGAGGATGGGGTATGGAGTGCAGAAGTAGAGGTGGAGGATGGGGTGGAGGTGGGATGGGGTGCGGAGGTGGAGGATGGGGTGCGGAGGTGGAGGAATGAAGCGACAGTTGATGACTCCATCAGCGTTCATTATTCCATCCTGGGTCGCTCACCAAGTAGAAGCACCATTTGAGGATCTCACCAAATTGCAGCATCAGATCCCAGAACAGTACAGAGGGATCCCCTCCACCCAAACGTTACCTACAAGATCCAGATATCACAGAGCGCCACCTGCTGGT